AGCAACATTCGTGACCGAAGTTATCCCAGAGACTATCGAGTTTGCCACACGGTTCTTCAAACTGATAAGATTCGCATATTTCTTCTAAGCAAAGAAAAGATTGGAAGACAACCAATTAAGCTGAGTGACTGAATGAACAAAATGACCGTACATGCTCCCAACTCAATTACTGGAAAATAGCTTTAACCCAGCAAAGATTAGGTTTTCATCCTACAAAGCAAACTGGAATTGTGCTTTTCCTCCACCATTCATCACTGCTCCTGCCATCTTTTCAATTCCTAGTCTAATGACTATGATTAGTACTAAGATTTATGGAGCGAACTAGGCTGTTCTCAAAGCTAGGACAAGGGCATTATAACGTACTTCCGCCGCATGCTCCAGGATACCGTTCATAAATCACGCTTTCTTGGTTATCTGGCTTGTAAAATGTTTGCAATTACACTCTATGCACGGTGTTCTAATCCCATCTTTGTCGTCTTCTAGATCTGAGCTAACCTTTTCTTCCTGCATTTTCTTTTGAGCATAGAATGTACAGGACGAGCAAAGAGGATATATCTTGTTCAGCTTGTACCGATAGTCGTCTAGCTCTTCATTCCAACGATCCTATGAAAGGCGATTTACTATCTTCATTTACTTAGTAGACCAAAAAGGTACCTCATTCAATGGCTCAAAGTCAGCTATTTTCTTCATAATGATTTCTTGCTGTCGATTGCACTGATCACAGAGTCCATTACTACCATAGCCTTCTTTGGGTACAACATCTGGTCGTGTGAAAGCAGTTTTTGAAGGGGTGCAGTATCTAAGCATTCAAAGCCAAAATCTCTTTAGCAACCGATTAAAAACCTGACCTACCTAGTCTCGAGTTTTGCAGCAACTACGCATTGTTGTCCAGGTACTTTTCGGTTGTATCCTCCAGATGCATCAAAGCCATTATACTGTTCACAACTTGAGCATATAAATGAGTTTCTCTGATCATAAGGTACTCGTTGGTCATGTTGGCAAAACCAACAATTCACTTTGGTAGGTATATGGCTCCTGAATGTATCGCATAAAGAGTGAAAATTTCGAAAA